GGAGCTAGAACAAAAATTTTTTTATCATTAAATAGGGAATTGTTTATACTATATACACCACTATTCAAAACAAAAAAATTCGCACCTACGATTTTTTCAGAAAACGCCGCCTAAATGCCCACTGTGCCGGACGGGCCGAAACCGAAAAAGGCTGGTCCTGCTCATGTCTCGATTCAAAGCGTTCACGTAAGGGATTTATACGAGTGATAATATTAAAATGCCAAAACAAAAAGAAGTTGAAAACGAGAAAAGATCCGAGCGCATTTTGTAACATTCAAGACCGGTAACTTATAGGAAACCATAAGACCATCGTTTTCCAATATGTCAAGCATGTAATATTGAATTTTCCGGGCAACGCCAGATACTTCAGCTAGTTCATAATAACCGTAAATTCTTCAGCACGACCTTATTCGTTCTTCATACTGAAATCTATCATTTCTTCGTTTAATAACCGAAATCTGTGAAATTTTTTTTCCGATAAAATCAACAAAAATATAATAAAGATCCAAAAATGCAAGAAATAGTATTTACATGGCAAGAACTGAAAAACCTTGAGTCTGCCTGATAAGTATAAAACAAGGCCTAATAGACTTGTTTCTGTCATGATACAGTTATGAAAAGATATCAATTAGAACAAGAGCTAGTGCTCTTGTGTATTATCAGATATATACTTCGTCGATAAATTTAGATGTTCTGAAGGGCAGCACCAGAATCATCAAAACCATAACGCTTTAATTCTTCAGAGTAGTCAATACTGCCACCATCTCCTATAAATGAGAAAAATCAACTATACTGAATTTTTCAAATATTGTGGTGGTTTAATTACCTCCACCATAAAAATCGCCGGTACGGAGACCTTGATCAGACGAGACGTGAGCAATGAAATTTCGTGATGTAGTGCCCGCTGCACCATTACCATAATGTATTGATGAAAAATGCTGATCACCTGTAAGATAGGGTGAGGCACTATTTGCGCCTACAGTTGCCTCGGACTGATATTCTTGAGCACTAGATGTTGTATAATTGGTGATACCGCCAAAATTTAAATCTTGACCAACAACATCACTTGAACCGTAATTATACGATTGTGAATTTTCATACTGAGCACCTACTTCAAATCCTGAGCTACTTCCCTGTAGACCGCCATAATATTCACCATCAAACGTACCTGTTTGAAATGAATTTGCTGAAGTAGCTGCTGTTGCCCCTGCGAATACGTTTGGCGGAGACTAAAAGACGACAGTTCTTTAAGTCAAACAGATTTTTTACTTCTTTCAATATTTACAATATCTTCAACAACTCCATATTGTCGTGCTTCAGTTACTAATCGCTGAGGATCTAATAGTGAACTACCATATCGAGCGGTATAAGCTTTTGGATCTTCGGGTGTAACTCCTAATTTTTGAAATTGGCGCACAACTCTAGCTTGCACACTTTCATACCTGAATAATATGAAATTTCGTTTGTTATATTGAATCACATCCATATTCACTGAAATGAATAACTTACGCAATAATAATATTACGGGGTGCTGGATAAGGTTTTTCTGCTTCTGCTTTTTGAACTATCACTTTTCGTTTATGCATCGATTCATAGGGAATCCATCGTTCAATGATAATATCTCGCGGCTTTGGTGGTAATGGCGGCAGTTTTTCAAGAATAACAGAACGAGGTGGTGGAGGTATGGACGGAAGTGTTCGAGTCACAACTGTAGCTAAAAAAATGTATTCAAATTTTGTTTATTAATAATGAAGATATCCTAAAAACAATAGAAGTTACCGGTCATGGCAGCTGGAATAGGTGGAGGCCGTTCTCTCAGAATCAATGGTGGTGGTGTTTGGACTGGTGGTGGACGTTGCCGAATTACCTATTTAACAGTAACAATCCTTAGCCAAAAAGATTGATTAGCGTTAAGATATATGATAACAGCAATTTAGGATATATATTAAATCATTGAAAACCGTTAGTTTCCTTCTCCATCTCGAGTTATTAATGAAAGAATTGGATAATAAACGATATATCAAACTTACAACAGGTGGCGGTGGTGGTGGCTGAGGTGGCCTAAAATATGGTTATTATATGAATACTGACTATTATCATAAAAAGTTTAATATTTCGAACCTAACTTCACGAACAATTAACGGTCCAGGAGGGGGAATTGGTGGCGGTTGAAGAAATCGAATCATAACATTTTGTTTGTACGTGACTGGTTCCGACGGCTGTTTCCTATGTATCATTTGTGGATTTGGGTCATAGTAAAGATGTCGTGTTCGAACTATTGTTGCATAATCCTGTTCTATACCAACTTCTTCAGCGGCTCCTCCATATTGTAAACCACCCTGCTGAATGTCACCACCATACTCGCTGTACGATGTTGTGTTCTGTTGATGTCCACCGGCTGATGATGTTAAGTCGGTACCGGATACCGATTGCGATAAGTTATTAGTATTATAATCACCTCCGCTACCGATACCAGAAGTTCCAGTTGACTGGTTACCAAATAGATGATCCCACGATTGTATACCTTCATCCTGCTGTAGTCCAACACCATTTTGATAATTGACACCAGCTGGTTGATACGATGCATATTCATAGGCTGAAGAACCATCTTGAGCACTAGTCGGTGAATAGTATTGTGAATCTTGACCGGTGTTAACATTCGCATAAGTATTTATCCCTTGACCAATTCCGCTCGTTCCACCTGTTACTGATGAATATGTCATATTATAGTCACCACCGTATCCTGCCGTTGAATAAGCCATATTATAATTGTTACTACTATTACCAGCAGTTGTATACATGCTGGACATACTATGATATTCTGATGGTTGTTGAATCGTAGAAGTTTCTGCTCCAATTGATGATGGTGTTGAAGTTTTTTTATGAGAATCAAATGAATATAACGATGTTGTACTACGCTTTTCGTCTTTACCACTTGCGGACATGTTGATATGCAATTTAAAAACTTGGGAGATGAATAGTGTGAACAAAAAATTGTCACTAAACACAAATGCTCATGAGAACGAAGGTAAAACTCTATTCATACGAGGAAATAAACGAGTAACTTATTGATTGACTATGAACACTACCATCAATAGTAATCATGCAAAGCAATCATAAAAGTCATTAAAAACGAAGAAGAAGTAGTAAGGGAAAAAACGAGAATTCATTTTCTTTTCATTCTTTTCGTTGACTATTGAAGTGTGACGCTTGTAGACCACTGACTTGACCAGTATGCGTGTTAGAGAACGAAAATGAGAACACATTAATAGACATTCACAGTGTTGGAATCAAGGTTGCATCCCCATTAATATACCCATTTTTATGTTGTCAATCAATAGAATATGATAAAACAAAAGAACACCGAACACTCATTCTATGTTCATCGATGGGTAAAAACTAAGGTTATACTTTTGTTTCTTTTCTTTTTTTTTGTTTGTGTATGTGTTAGTCCATTATTAATCAATTATATATGCACTCTCTCTGTAAGGCACACTTTTCCAATCAATTAAACTACGGTGAAAGCGTATGTATCTATTGATGGACACACAGATAAAACGTTATTAAGGTTGATGAATATAGAGAAATAAGTGAGCCAGTTTAATTAGAAATTGAATTACTGCCATGAGAAATAATTATATATTCATTTCTTCATCAAAATTGTGGCATAAATTCACCTTCATCAAGAAAGTAACAAAATATAGTTATTATTGCATTCTGTAAAAAACAGATAAACATGAATATTGCCTAGTTCAGACGAGTTGTAAGTTAGAAATATCTACAAGATTATCATGTTAGTTTCTTTATATATCATTGATTAATATATGAAGTAGAGTATGAGTTAAACATGTTTATTATATTATTGAATCAATAGTAAACACTTTATCGATTGTTTTATCAAAGATTAATCAGATATGACGTATTATATAAAACAGTTTATTAGCGTTACGATCAAACGCTTGTGATTTTGGATACAATTTATTTCAGACAATAAGAAATTAATTGAGCAGATAAACAATAATTTTATCTCATTGTGTCTTAATGTTGAGCAGATTGGAAAGATATTTTTTTAAAAAGATATTCAAAAGAATACTGTTGCTTTAGAAATAATGAAATATGAATTTTTTTGCATACATAAAAGATTGAAGCCATTTATCTAATGTTCATGTGCTTCAAAGTTTTATAAAAAAAATATGTCATACAAGATGTTTGTTATAAATACAATGAACAATCATAGCTAATAATATAAAGTCTTATATTCTGAGAAAAAACCATTTTTTCGTTCTTTTTGAAAGTGCATACAATGAAAAATCTAAGAATTGCTCAATCAGTCATGCTTTTATTTTTATTTAATATTCAAGTTTTATAATAGTGAAAAAGGACTGGAACACGCCTACATTCGATAGACCAAATCGAATTCGGTTTTCTATTTTTAGTGTGTGTGACAGTGATTTATTACTTAAGCCTGATGCACGAACTCCTTCATAATTACAACAAATATAAGTACATCACGTCCGAAGCTAAATGCCTCTTTTCAGCCATCACCATGCATAAAAGAAATTGCGGCAACAAAAACTGAGGCGATTTTTACAGGCTTTTGCTTTAATTTTTAAACTGAGGTTCTATAACATTAATAAAATGTTTCAAAGATGTCATTTGAAAAGCAAATCCACAACTACTGAATGAAAAACTTTCCAAAAATTCATTTTTAAAGTTATTAAATAACCAGTGATTGTTGCAAAAGATCTATTCGTCAGTTTGATAGTGGTATTTGTTTTCTATGTAAAGATTTTCTAAACAGATATAGCTGCTTACGGCCATACCACGTTGAATGCACCAGTTCTCGTCCGATCACTGAAGTTAAGCAACGTCGGGCTTGGTTAAGCAACGTGGGGTACTAGGATGGGTGACCGCCTTGGAATACCAAGTGTCGTAAGCTTTTTAACATGTTTTTTACAGTGCATAGATCCGTCTTACAAGCAACATTCAAAACAGACTGTCATTTATGTTCTTTTCCGATAGGTGAAACAAAATCAAGGAATTGACTACTGCTTCAAAAGTTTTCAGTATGATCCAAACTCTTTTTTGTTTTAACCATAACTCAGCACAGGAGTGGTCTTTCAGCAAACGGTTTTCACTAAAATGTTGCCCATTTGTCCGAGTATATTCGTCGAAAAAAACATTTAAAATATTGGTTATTCTTGTCTGTAGGTCGACATCAATGCTCGAGTACCTTCTGGATACTCAATGATATATGTTTCGAAATTTTTCGTTGATTTTCCTTTTTTGGTGAAAATCTCAGTAACTTTCAGGAAAAAACAAAAGTAATCGGTTAGGATAAAAGAAGTATGCCATTCGACTCAGTTTTCCATGTTCACGTCGAATATGTTATTTTTATTGCATAAAAAGTGAGTTCTAGTTGAAAAAATAAAGAATTACAGACAAAATTCCCATTTTTTTCGCTCCTGATTTAGAAAAAATGTATTCTCTTAGTTATAAAGCAAAATAAAAGAAAAAGGCTATCCATACTTTTTTAAGCTCGCTTAATGACGGTTCTAATGAATATAAATAAGCCATAAAGAAAATGATAAAAGGTAAGAAACCTGCAAAAATGAAGATGCTTTGAATGAGATTCGTAACAAACGAACGAAAAAAATCTGTTTACCTTTTTCGTAAAATTTTAAAATCTGTCGTTTTCTTACGCAGTTTCTGATGTTCTTTCCATTGATATGTCTAAAAAAAATTTCATCCATTCATTACCGAGATACAGAGTTTACATGTTGACCATGTCAACTTTACCTTAAAACCGATTTGCCCACTCCGAAAAAGCTTTTTCTCAAAAACCTTTTCTACCAAAATGTTCGTTATCTTCTCCGATTTTCGCTGGTGTAGTTTTCATACCTTTAAACTTCCTTGGCGGGTCAAAAAATCAATTACATTAGTAGTACGGAACATTTTTGCAGCTCTTCGGTGTCCGAAGAGAAGGTACTTAAGCATTAATGTCGACCTACAGACAAGAATAACCAATATTTTAAATGTTTTTTTCGACGAATATACTCGGACAAATGGGCAACGTTTTGGTGAAAACCGTTTGCTGAAAGACCACTCCTGTGCTGAGTTATGGTTAAAACAAAAAAGAGTTTGGGTCGTACGGAAATGTTTGCATCAGTAAGAAAAGTCCAAGTATTGTGGGCTTCATCTTTAACAGGCAGCGTTCGTTACTATGATGTACATAGATAAGAATTCGGTATGCGATTTCAAATATGTATCTGTCAAGAAAAAATCTCGTCAAAAATGATTCAATTTTTATGCAATAGAATTTCTATTTCTGATGACTTTATCATTTCAGTTGTTGTCAGTAATGACGATGGTATTTGTTCAAGCGTCTGATCACATTTAATTAATAAATCGGTGATCGATTCTCTCAGTGCTGTTAAATATGTACTTGTT